TTATCTCCTAATTTGAATGTTGCTGAACCTAGACATTATATAGAACCACGTGCACAAACAAATATTGCAAGAGATTTTGTTGCTACACGTGAGGATAAGCATGATAATGGGGATATGCATGAATGGGGATTCTTTGACTTTTGGCCATAAAAATGGGCAAGTTGTGCATGATTTACCACCCATAAGTGATACCATATGCCAGCCCCATAATTCTAAAGATAAGCATACTTACCCAATCTCTCAATCTACCCATCCCATCATCAAACCCAGCCCATTTTCCATAACTAATACCATTTGCTAACCTCCTCAAGCTAAAAACCAACCCAGCCAAAATTCAACACAACCTGGTGCAACCAAACCAGCAGTACCCACCACCCATAATTCTTGCACTATTCCCCCTGGTTCTGCCCCAGACCCGATCAGAGGAGGGTGTTCAAGTTTCTTCGACAAACTCGAGGGGTCTAATGAACTTCTAATGGAAGGTGGTGACCTTTGAGTAGATTTTTCAGTGAACTTTTCAAAAAGATCTCACAGAATAGACAACGGAGAGAATGAGGGGGTGGAACACTCACATACGTCGAAGATGCCATCGTTACCCACATTCCAAGATGAGCACAAATAAATACAGTACGATCCCCAAAGGCAGGAAAATGGCTACATGCCTCTTGTGAAAAGCCAAATGACACAAGTCCTTTCATCTCCATCTAACACGTCACCCAATTCGTACAAAGATCAAGGGTTGGGGGTTGTTGATGGGACACTTTGGTGAATAGTGAGAGAGTAACACGCGTCACAAGTCAAGTTCTCGGAGTGTGAATCCTTCCTCGATATGGTGGTCATGTGTACTTTGGTGACGTCTATTACACTTCGGCATCCTCGGGTAACTCATCTCAATGGAGAAGCCCCTCCTCGGTTGGAGATACCTTCGCTGTCCAGTGATGACTAAACTCGGCACCGACCACATTGCAAGATGATAAACTTTGACTTTGAAGGTAGAGATAATTGACTAAGGCAAGCCAGTCTTTTGATCAAGATAAAGTAGTTTCTGAACATTACGGTTTGGGGGCAAAGTTGACTCTCAGTTATTAACCCTTAAAGGCAATAAGAATGATTAGAAATAGCAATTCAATAACCAATGATAGAGATGTACAGTGCATGGAACAATTAATACATGACCCCTTGAATAGGAGATTAGCTAAAATGCCCATGCGCATGTATGTCCATGCCTTAGGCGCATTAAATAATTTGACAAAAGCATGAGACACTTTCCATGCTTAGAGGAGCAGAGATGGATACATTAAGTTCTCAAGGTCTTGGGTGTGAACCTGTGGAATAATCTTTTTTTTTTTTTAGGGGAGAGGGGGGAAGGGGGCTTGAACCCGTGACCTCAAGATGACAAATTTTTCACGAGATAAAGAGTACCATTGAACCAAAAGTCCATTGGTGACCTGCGGAATCATCTAGTGTAGATAAAAGCAAACACTTTGATCGAGGTCTGCATACCATTTAGTGTCCCCTGTATGAACCAACCAGAAACTTTCCCTCCAAGTGGACCCAACTGTCTGCCTCAGTTAATTCCTAGAAGGAATAAATAGCACACACAAGCAAAAGGACAGGTATGCATCCCACCCTTTCTCGAATACTGACTTGAGCATCGAAGGGGTCATATCGAAAAACACTCCAGCGCCCTTCTAACGAAGTAGATAAAGTAAGTTTTCTTATTAGCTTGCTCAAACCCTTCCCATTGATGTTGCAACAAACCAAGAAATAAAACTCAATTAATATTAGGCCATTGAACAACACACTTCACTTGGAGGGATAACCATAGCCTATCAGTGTCAGGACAGTTGAAAAAAAGGTGATTATGGGTTTCACTTTCTCATCTACATAAAAGACACTGACCACTATGGACCACCCCATGGCTTACAATTGTATCATGCGTAGTAAGCATCTATTGTATTGAAAACCATTAGACAAAACAAAATCTGGGAACTGCATTTACCAAACAATGCTGGTCCAACTTTGATACTGCCCCTTAGGTCTGATTGTCTCCCATGCTGATTGAATGCTAAAAATCTGATATATTTAGAAACCATTCAATACAGTCCTCTCTTTCTGGATATGGTTACATGTCAGCAAGGATTTGGATTGCTGTCATAGGCCAACTCCAGGTACCATTGCTAATAATTCCACTCACTCTATCATTAGTATAATATCAAAACTCATGCCCCTAAGCATATCATCCCCCACCTGATCATAGAGTGGGCCTTGAGGATGCCATGGATCATGCCATAGGACGTTTTGTAGACATTGTTAATGATCTTTTCTCAAAGTTTATTAGTGAAAATCTTGAAAGGAATTTGTTTTTTCCTCTAAATATAAGTTTTCGTCCAGAACCAAACATTGGTCCTTCAATGGTCACTCATATCTAACAAGGTATATTTTTTCAGAAATTTAACTACTAATACACCTCATTTTCAGCCTTAAAAACAATGGAATCTTTTATTTTTGGAAATATGAGACCATAAACTTAGGTCTTAAATACAAGGTCTATCTCTCCCTTCATGAAATTATAGTAGTGTAATGTCATATCTATGGAGCAAAGGATGAATATGATGTATGGAGTCCATGTATGTGTTTTAACTTCTCTTGACAGCCACTTGGGTCCACATTGATTCTTGTTTTCTTGACTATGAGAAACTTAATTAGCCCTGAGCTAGGGTTGACAATTGTTGGATGTTCGACTATGTTATTTTTGTTACAATATGGAATGGTAGTTGACCATAATTCAACTAGTTTGTGTACATGTCTTGTTCACGTCAACAAACATAACATGTGTACAATCCGTAATTTATAAGGACCCTTTCTCTATTACCACATATCGACCTTCCATAAATTAAAATCTACATGCTCTAGATGTTTAAAAAACCAAGTAAGAATTCACCAATTCAATACAAATTTGTAGAATACCTGATCAAGAAATGAAAAAAAAATTTGAAAACATAAAAAATGTTCTTCACACTATACAAGCTAAATTTGTTGTCCTACAAAGGTAGAATTATTCATGTTTGACATTGCTAATATTTAATTCATTTATTATTTGGGTTTGTGGGTCATGTAATTTTCCATTTTCGGAAATTAGTAAATCATAAGCTGCTTATTTCATGTCGAGTACATGTTCTGTTAACCTACTATGTAGAAAAGTGTCTAATCGACTTATCACGTGGGCAAATATACTTATCATCACTTTAAATTCGACTTCTATATATTAAAATAACTTGAAAATAATATAAGATATCATGTCTATATGAACTAGCAGTAGTCCGTACCTAAAGACACCACACAATATCAAAAATTGAGCTGATCTTGCAATATTTGTAATTTAAATAATAATTTAGTTTTTTTTATTGCACAATTTAAAATTAAAATGGAGAGAGATATAGATGTTGATTAATGAGATTATTTGACAGTGGGAAGTGTGTTGATTCTGTTGCTCGTCATTAGGGATCGTGTCAAGAAGTTGATGTTTTTAGGACAAAAAAAAAATAGGATGAATTTATGTAACAATTTGTCCAAACTGTCAAGACATTATCTACTTTAGTGCCCATACACCCTCACGATTTTGTCTTTGTGGGGTTTTGCAGTAGAAAAGCCCTACTGCCAATTAAGGGTAATCACACCCCACATATAGCCCAGTCACTCTTGCCCCCCCCCCCCCCCCAAGTCGATGTGGGATGCAACGCATAAAGCTATAGCACCTCCTCAAGTCATAAGGCCGTCTGGCATGCTACTACGCCCCCCCCCAACACACACATCGATAGTAGGAGAGTCGGCTCTGAAATCACCTGTAACGACCTGTCCTAACTATTAAGATATTGTCCGCTTTGGTAGCCATACATCCTCACGATTTTATTTTTCTAGGGCTCCCCCCCCCCAAAAATAAATAAATAAATAAATAAATAAGCCTCTTGACAATGAAGTGTGAGCACACTAAAAGGCCTCTCGACAATTAGTGTAGTAGCCTTCCAAAAGTCCTTCTAAGGTGAGGAGATGCTATAGCTTTATGTCTTGCAACGTACATCGACTTGGAAAGAGGAATGACTAGGCTATATATGTGGTGTGCATACCCTTAATTGTCAAAAGGTCTTTTTCTGGGGCAAAATCCTCAGAGAACAAAACTGTGAGAATGTATGGGCACTAAAACAGACAATATCTTGACAATTGGGATGGTTCGTTACAATTTTGTACCATTGGAAATAAATCTTCTGAGAAGCCCTCAACGTCCATTCGGTCTTGAATTTCCTTGATTAAGGAGACATCTGATTCCATCTTCACAAGAACATTTCCAAATATCTCTGTATTTCAAATCCTCAGACATTGCTTTAACCGTTTAAGGTTTTGAATAACTATGAACATAGGGCAGCCATAGATACCCTCCGAGACCCAAAACTCCTTCACAACGATTAAAAAAGTATCATGAAATTTCCACATTCTTTGGAAACGGAAAGGCGAAGGTCACACCCTTTCCATTTTGCTAAAGTAAAATAACAAAGGGTGTTGATCCAATGATGTCCTAAAAAATAGAGAACAAAAAGAATTTGGCCAAGAACCAAGCCAATTGATTCATGACATACTCCTGTCCAAGTGCATGTCGATATGAGAACGGACACCCCTTCCATTTGAACAAGTATATGGAGCCCCACGAGTGGCAATATCTATCAACTCACATGAATTAATCATAGAAAGGAAGTCATTGCAAGATATAGACTTGGGTAAAATACCACCACGCTTTTCATGCGCTCTCATCACTGTATTGAAATCACTCATAACCATCCATAGCTCTGATATTAGCAAGTTTTAACCATACTATTCGATGTTGAAAATATGATGTATTCGCATAAACAAAAACCATTGGGCCGATCATAACTTGTTGTAAAGAAACATTTACACTGACTGCATTAATCATAGAAGAGGTTAAAATCCAAATATTAATAGATTGATTAGTGTTTCCACCTGCATAAACGAGATTTAGACCATGCTAATAAGCAGCAGGGATAGAATCAAAATTCACCATAGGCTCTGAAATACAAATAATATCTAATTGGTAATGAGTGATATAATTCATGAGAACACATCAAAACGGGATTTTCCTGTTTCTGGCGGTGAGTCACCACCTTGCTTTTACTTTGACTTTCTTTTACTTCTGAAGGTTTGGCTCTATGTCCTCCTCCCTTGTACATTCTTGCTTTTAGTTATATATACAGGTAGGGGTCCTATCAAACCCCCTACCCACACTGGGTGGTTTTAAAAAAAAAAACCACATCGAAATGGGTGATTGCCCACCCCTCTTAAATTCCAGTACAAGACCTTCAATAAACATGCGAAGATTCCACCTGATAACGGGTATTATAAGAGCTGTCCCTCAATATTCTCTACCGTTTTCTTTGGAATTTTGATTGCAAAACAAAAAATGGAGCCTCCACCAAACTATCACCCTGAGCCACCATAGTAGCTTCTAAAATATCCCAATCATTGGGAGTGTTTGGAACAATAATCACTTCCTGTGAATCTTTCAGTACATTGTTGTCTGTCGGCACCGACAAAATGTCCTCAACTTCCATCTCTTGTTCAACACCCTCACGCAACGGTGTTGGCATGGTTCGCTGGACAAAGATCTTCCTTTTGCCCATAATGACTAGAAACAACATCACCATGATGGGTCTGCGGATCCGAAACTTCGGCAGATTTTTTAGAAGCATCCACAGTTGGTTTACCCACTTTAGGAATGACTTTGCTTCCGACTTCTTCTTCCCATCCCTACACTTTGTCACGTCATGTGTTTACAATTGCAAGAGAGACTATTTGTTGGACATACATGTGACAACAAACTAGTGGTTCTATTTACAACTGAAGCAAAATACATGTCAGTGACTGAGGCTGCCAAGGAAGTGTTGTGGTTGAGATGGTTGGTTAAAGAGCTTGGTTTAAAGCAAGGAGGAATTCATGTGCATTGTGATAGTCAGAGCACCATTTATTTGGCAAAATATCAAGTTTATCTTGCCAAGACAAAGTATATAGATGTGAGGTTTCAACAGGTGAGAGAGTTAATTATCTCTAAAGAGATAATACTAGAAAAGGTGCATATTTTGGAGAATGCAGCTGACAAGTTGACAAAGCCAATTCTTTTTGATAGGTTCAAGCATTTTTCTTGGAATTGGTTAATAATTCTCAACGTGAGAAAACTGACATCCCCAACCTATGGGTTTGCGATGGAGACAAGTTAAAGTATTTTTTCAGAGTGGTGAATTATTCACCATGGTGAAGATTGTTAGACATAATAAGTGATTCATATTCATTAGACCCAAAAGTTAATGGGATAGTTCAGTTGAACTATTGTTTGGTTGTCGGGGTCGAATAATAAGTTAGGGGATGCAAAGAATACTCCACTGCAAGGAACGGGTACATTAGAGGTTTCCAATGTATATCAGGTGTAGGAGTTGTACTAGGAGTAATCCAAAAAGTTTACAAGGAATTGATTACTAGGACTATATTTCCTAGTTGGACTATGATTGGGGTTATTAACCAGCTTCTATAAATATGATGTAATCCTTTGGATTCTCATGATAATCAAGGAAAACTTATTTTTGTGAACATACGTAAATCTTGTGTTCTTGAATATCTCTTTCTTAATTGTTTATCATGTTGCACATTCACAACACAAAGTGACCATCAAGTGTGCTCATGTGAGATGCTCGTGAACACCTCAGTCACCACAAACTAAAAATTGATGAACTAATAACACAATTAAAATAATGGAAATGAAAATGAACAATAATTAGGGGACAATTAAAGTATTTTACCAACACGTTCATATGTGCACGAGTATATTATTATACATACAATTATGCTTGTCAAAATAAGAAAAAGTCGAACAAAAAAGAAAAAAATAATTTCCAAAACCATCGCAATTTAACAAATTTGTTAAATACGCAAACAATTAAAGATAAATGTAAACAGCATTCTCAAATGCAACCTAAGCTCTTTCAACAACAGAAATGTCATTAACGATTCTGCTTTCAGGTTTCGATTCCAAATCATCGAGATAATGCTGATAGATATAAGATGCAAAACCCCAAATGGCCAACAACATTGCAACCACCTTCACTCCAGTCATCTTGTCTTGGAAAATGAATACGGCAAGAACTGGAACAATGGGCAAACCCAAGGTACTTATGACATTGGAGAACAGTGAAGAGACCTTAAAAATCAGCCCAATTGCCCCAATGCTAAACACTTGCCATGTCACAGCAGTCCATACCAAGTTCATTACGTACGATACGTTACCAAGTTCATATTCCTTCATCTCTCTTCTCAAATTTCTCCATTCCCCACTAGTGAAAAGCCCCACTAGGATCACACACGTCGCTACGAGAGATTGGTAGATTATTACATTCATGACCACTCTAAAAGTTTCCTTCTTAAGAATTTTTCGAAATGCAAGTTGGGTTATAGAGAGGTTCAATGCATAACCAGCTGATGCAGCAATAGTGCACATAAACCCGATCACGTACTTCCCTTTTGATGTTTTATTGGAGTCTCCAGAGTCATCATTTGAGAAAACAAGGAGAGTGGAGGAAATGGTGAGGAGGAATAAAGAGTTCACTATAAAAGGAGTGAATTTTTGGGCATTAAGGAAGTAGGAAAAAATAGCATTGAAGCCCAATTGACTTGCACAAATGAGAGAATAAGTAGAAACTGGAAGGTATTCGAGCCCAATTGTGTATAACATACTATATGCTGCTAAGAATACACCAAGAAAGGTATATAAAGAGACAAGGATTAAGGTAGAAGGTGGTTTTGTTTGGTTACTTTGTGCAATCCCATCTTTGGTCGGTGAGACGAAGAGAAAGGGGATAAGGATGGGAAAGCCTGCGGTTTGGACTAGGGTTGCCATCCATTTGCTCTTTGCACCTTTGTCAAAGTAGAGTCTTCCCAAGAGTGTGGCAGCTGATTGGCCAGAGAGGACTAGGAGAGAGAAAATGACCATTTGGATCCACCAGTTGTATTGTCTAAGCTTTGGGACTGTTAAGTGGTGGTTGACATTGGCCTTTTCAGGTGGGCTTGCTTCTTTGGCTTCATGACCTGGTCCAATAACATAATGGAAAATTTATTTTAAAATTTTTAGATTTATGAATTCTACTACTCTCACGAAATAATTTTTTTATTCACTCTCAGAAAACAAAACAAAATTACGCCATGCCCATTTGGTGCACATAGTTGTAGTTATGTCTAACGGAGTCCTCCAATCTAATAATTTTTTCTCAAATTTTCTTCTTAAAAGTATCATATACTTTTAATAAGTGAGAAATTCACTTAGATATAATGGGTCTGGCTGAATTAATTCATGGTATTTGATTCAGAAATAATAGAAATAAAGAGAAAATGTGTAAATAAAGAGGAAATGTTTCTGATTATTGTAGGGATCTCACTCCTTCAACCTCCAAACAAAGAGAGAGAGAGAGAGAGAGATGGTAAAAATAGTGTGTACCACTTTTCGGTAAAAAAAACAATTTACCATTGTGTGTGTGTCTCTACGGTTAAAAACAATTACCACTTTTTTACGGTGTCAACATTTATCATTTTTTAGGGTATTTTTATCATTGTTGTGATATCGAAAAAAAAATGATAAAAATAATTAGCACAACAGTGATAAAAATGCCGACAAAAGTGAAAAAATATTCACAAAACTGACAATTTTTTTGGTACCAGAGAAAAGTTGTAATAATAATTACAAAAAAAATCATTCAATGTAGTTGTGTAGTTGGTTAATGTGCATCTCTTACTTTTGATGGGGAAGCCTCTTTTTCTGTAAGTGACAGCATTAAACACCATCCAACTCCACCGATACTATTCATCTACATATCTGGTTTTATTTTTTATTTTCTTACTATTCATCTATATAGGAATCAATTCTTTTCTCATCAATGGAATGATTTAGACCCTTGGAAAAGAAAGGACCTCTAAATCTGATTACCTCAATATGTGAATGTGCGTTTTTTAGCCTTCAACACTAATTCAGACAATCATATGAAAATTATGCTAGTCCATTAAACTTAAATTTTGTGAGTTTAGTTGGATTTCAATTTTGTGAGTTTAGTTGGATTTCAATTTTGTGAGTTTAGTTGGACTCTTTTTTTTTCCTGGTTGACTTTAGTTGGATTTAAATTTTGTGACCACTCTACGATTTCTTGTCTTGGCCTTTGTTTGACATTAAACCAAATCATCCAGGTTTTACTGCACTCAAGATCATTTATCATTGGTTAATGTTTTGCAAGATACTGAAATTACCCTTCGTAACAATCGTATGAGAAAATTTTTAATGGGTTTAACATACAGCTTGACAGTGCAAGAGGGACACACTCAGAGAAGCGACCACAACCCCAGCTTATCAATGCACAAATAGAATTTTTTTAACTTTTTTCTATCAAATTAATTAGTGATAATAATTTTTGAAAATATACAAATATTAATTGATAATGTATGCTACCTAATAATGTCACGTATGTTAAACACACTAAAAATTTTCTCAAATAATAACTATGAGCTCCATCGTTCCTTTCTTTTACTTTTTTTCTTTAATCTGACTAATATAGCAACTAGAAAGAAAAAGGTCTACTCACCTTCAATCAAGGGTGACTGTTCTTGAGCTTTTCCCATGTTAAAGATGCAGAACTTCCAAGAAGACTAACCGGGGAGAGAGAGAGAGAGAGAGAGAGAGAGAGAGAGAGAGAGAGAGTTCTTCATATGCAGCCAAAGAAGGCAGAAAATAAGATCAATATATAGTGCAATATTTCCAACTGACGGGTGTTGACTTTTCTTTGGAAAGATGCTTGCTATTCACTGTATATATTCAATGTTTTTATGTAATTGAGTATGTTCAACGCTGTCAGTTCCTTTCACCATGTGTCTTGGCTAAATTATAGTCGAGGGACTGTAAAAAAATGAGATTTTGAGAGAGAGAGAGAGAGAGAGATGACAGTAGAAAGAGAGTGTGAAAAAGTTATAGTAAAATTTTATTGGACCTAATCTAAAGCATTGCTCAGGTAATTATGGACAGTTAAGAGTGAGTTATGAATGTCAACATAGAATAAAGTAGGGTTATTATAAGTATTTTAAGAGTGAACATCAAACTCATTTCTCTACCTTCATAATAATTAGATGTCTCGCACACACAATTATCTATGTGAAAGGAGATATAGGTTGTTGAATAAGGATAAAAAGGAAATTGGGTGGTTTTTATGAATTCAAACGATTAAGTGTAGTTTAAAATGTGATAATAAATAGTTAATTTAGATAAATAATGGGTGTTATAAGGATCATCAATGAGGGTTGCCGGTTTGAATTTTCTTCTTTCTCTGATATCCACCCAAGGTTCAATTGGCTTTATATGCATGTCATTGTTGCACATAGCATTAATTACATGGCCTATCGTGAATTAGACTTTCCAAATTTATATAATGATAATAATGTTGAATTGATATTTTATCACAAATAACAAATGGGTCGTCCTTATAGTAAACACTAATAATCCCGATTAACTGATATCTTATGAAGAAAATATGCCATCATAATATTTTTACATATTGTTCTATGAATAGTTTTAAAATTGAATAATTTTTCTATTAACACGAGAGCATGACATTAATATGAAATAAATTGAAAATGGAACTGCCAAAAATTAACACAAATAAAATGTAACATTAGCACATTAATAAATATTTGTTTCAAATAACGTAATAGGTATTATAAATTTCATGTATTCCTGGACCGCCACTAGTACGTGTATATATAAGGAGTAATACTATTTAGACTTTAAAATCTGACCTAATTTATTGACCGAGTAATGTAACTCCATTAAAATAATTGGATCAACATCAAGATCCAATATTTGATGGAACCCGCAATCAATCCAAAAATTATAGTGAATTAGATCAGTAAATTAAGTTAGTAAATTAAATCTTAATAACATTCCTCACATATAGGACCGGTGATGATAATTTTAACTTGGAAGAAAAAAAATGAGAAGGATATGATTCTAGAAAAAATTGAGTAAGAAATGTCACGTAGATGTATAACATTGGTACACCACTGGCTTCTTATTAAAATAGCAATATATCAGGAATCTCAAATAGGTTGAGTAAGTGATCTACACCACTGGGTTCGATAACAAAATTGTTTTATTTTTTAATTTTTTTTCATGATTTTAACTTGTAAAAGTGTAGACCTTTGCGTTTTTACATTTTTTCATGTTGGTGTATACTATGTTATATTATATTATGTTACATGATATTGTGTTGGATTTATAAGGGATACAAACTTTTAATTATATTATGTTGGATTATATTATAGTTAAGATTTTAATTATATTATGTTGTAAATAACAAACTTTTAATTATGTTATGATATTCTATAATTATGTTACATTATTTAAAATGTTAGATTTATTAAAAATTTTAGATTATATTGGTTTGGGCTTGAGTGGGTAAGGTGGACGAGGGTGGTGGTGAAGGTGAAGGTGAAGGCGAGGGATGGGCGAGGGTGGGGATGACAACTAAACCCGTTAACGAGGGTGGACCGGAGATGGACGATATTTTTTTAAGTGGGTATGGGAATGGAGACTACACCCCCGCCCTCACTTCGATTCACTGATATCCCTAAGTCCATACTAAGTCCATACTTTTTTCCAATCAAAAGTTACTTTTGGTAATATTTTAATTTTACCTTTCCATTAATTTAGTAAAATGTCAATTTTTATTCCTTATTCTCAATGTTTCAATTTAAAATACTAGTTTTGGAATAGTAGGTTGGCATCTAGAAATCTATTTGATATTGTCATTCTAGAGTTAGTGATATTGCAATTTTAAGCATTCCCAATGTCCAAATAATGAAACAAATAAGTTGTTCCTATTCTAACTTTATTCTTTCTTTCACATTTCACTAAATTTTAGATTATAATTAATAAGATGTAACAACTGGTGAATGCTCACCAGCATTGCTTGTTTTTTATCACATTATCGTGTGTAATAACACTTGTTTTTCAAATTTCAATTCAACCATTATGTACATAAGGGAAGAGACTTTTAAGCTAAAACTGCTGAAAGAGAAATGTGTGATATGGGGTCTCGCTTTTGCCGGTCTATATTTTTAATTGGTCATACAAGTTAATTCTCTCATTGTTCTATTAGAACAAATTTGGTTGCATCAAATTTCTATGGGTCCATGAGACAATCTTCTTGTAGCTGCGTAAGTACTATTCCTTAATATTGATTTTTTTTCTTAAGCGAGCTTGCAAGAAGTGTAGTTAATTTTCCTTATACATGCTTGCTAGAGCTCAACGTATCAATTAATTGTTGATAAGGATGTATTTAAGGATGAATTTATGGGAAATAAATTTAAGGATGTGACTTTATGGATGAAATATTAATGAGATGATAGCATCGAAGTGTGGGTCTACATGAGATTTTACATTTACTCTAGATCTCATTCAAAATGTCAATTCAAATATTTTTTTTGATTTGAAAGAATCAACAAGCTATACACTGGTCATGGCTAGCTAGATGTCCTTGCATATTTTGGATCTTCAATTGAATTTGAATGAAAAGCCCTTGGGAAAAGAGGTTTGCTCCTCTCAATTTGTGAATATTGCGTGGATTTTTTATTTTTGTTGAATGGTGAGAAAATGTACAAGTTAATTAATTCAATTTTATTAAAGTTAAAAAATTTAAGTCGCTTTTGAAATGTGATACGATTTTGGGGATGTGGATGAATTCTTACATAGAAAAATAATTAAATGAAGGGGGACCATTGAATGAGTGGATCTCATCGACTTTTTTTAATAGGACTCACTGATTCAATGGTCCCCCTTTATTTGGAATACATATTTGAGTTACATAGCATTGCTCATAATTATATTAATCACAAGTTGTTTCTTCTCTGACTATATGTTCTTTCTCTCACACTTTAATAAATTCTGTATTATAATTAATAAGGTGTAACAATGATAAGAGGTGGAGGTTAGAGGTAGGCTTGTGTTATTGTTTAGGGGTAGGAGGGGGTGGGGTTTCTTGGATACAGTTTATAAGGGATGGTTGTTAGGAGTTGGTGCGTTTGGAAGTGAGAATAAAGGGTGGAGTGATAGGGAGGGATGAACTTGGTGGATCTCTGGTGGTTACTTATTGATATTAAGTTGTTCAAATGAGAGATAAGAGATCATTATATTCTATACTAGCAATCTATTTGATATTGTCATTCTAGAGTTGGTGTTACTGTAATTGTTAAGCATTCCCAATGTCCAAATAATGATACTGATCACAAGTTACTTCTATTTTAACCCTATTTTTTCTTTCACACTTTAATAAATTCTAAATTATAATTACGGTATAACAATTGGTGAGAGGTGGAGTTTAGAGCGTTGGCATGGTGGTTAAGTGTGGGAATGAAGGGTGGAGCGTTAGGGAGGGGTGTACTTGGTGGACCTGTGTTGGGTTTATCAAGCCCTAATAAATACAAATCTACAATATTTTATGTAATCAAATCCAATAATCATCGTATAATTAAATAAGGTAATCCAAAAAACTTTAAATCATGATTCTGATGATCAAATTAATAACAATAATGATCCCTTGTTCCTAATTCGATTCTCTGTAGCTTTTAAATAGAAGAATGTACACAAGAGAGATGGAAAATTGTACGTTCAAGTGTATTCAGAGGAGGACAGCTACTATATATATATATATATATATATATATATATATATATATATATATATATATCCTCTAGTGGTTAATTATTGGAATTAAGTTGTTCAAATGAGAGATAAGAGATGTTTTTGATGTACGATCTGTCTAAATGTATGAAAAATGTACACGTGCAAAAATATTTTGAAAGTCTGTGTATCGCATGGGGTATCGCTTGAGAGAAATCGACTCAATTTGTTTGACCTTTTTTTATAGAAGGCCTGCTACTACCCTTGTAAGAAAATATAATTTAACACTATTGATTGTAATATAAGGGATAGAAGAATAAATTAGCTATTGAAATTTGATAGTAAAATGCCTTATAAAATAGTTTATGATTTGAAACGAGGAATTAAATTATCCAAAAAAGATTTTATACCTATTGACTGTAATATGGAGCAAGAAGACCCAAATTAACTATAAATCATTAATAAAAAGGAAAATTATACATCGATTTTCTCCCAAATTATGTGTTTTGCTTCACTTTGGCTCTATCACGTTAACAATTTCTATTGAGTGTAAAATTAATTCAACCAAGTTCTTCACAGGTCACCTATGACATATTTAAGTGCGACTTATTTTATGTAAAATGAGTTTCTCACTTATTAATATTAAATTAATCACGTCAATACATCGATCTGGTTCAACCACTTCCACGAGAGAATAACTAAGCATATATCAACAACATTGTGGGCAATTACTATTTAATACTTTACTCAGGCCCCACTTATATTATATTATTTTATTTTTTAACAGTGATTGGTAGATCACTTTAAAAACTGTCAACGCTATCCATTCGTGACAGAATTGATCAAGCAGGTTGTGTACTCTGTCATGGTCCCAATAATAATTTTACTTTTTTAACTTTCAAACCTTCAAACTTCAAAAGATTGTGATTATTGGACGTAATGCGACTCTTCA